CACGCACGCACGCACGCACGCACACACACACACACACACACACACACACACGTACACACACACACTCTCTCTCTCACTCTCTCTCTCTCTCTCTCTCACTCTCTCATGCGCTCACTCTCTCTTGCTCTTTTTCTCTTTTTTTTTTTTTACATGTTTTTCTGTGAGAGCCCTTTCGAAAGATGCATTATTTACTCAGGAATATGCAATAAAAAAAGACTACATACTCTTGAAGTCAGCATCTTAAAGTAATCTTACAAGGCTAAGCTCTCAAATTCTAACTTCTTTCATGACTAACCAAGTGCATTTCGATTAATAAATTCCACACAACTTGTCATCGTACTTGTTTTTTAAAATTTAGAATTCAAACTGTTTAGTTTGATCTCGAGATGATAAGATTCTAAAGGAATCTACTTTTATTGTGACTAAGGTAAAATTCAAGACACACAGCCGTTTTTTTAAACACTAATGAAACTGTTTCTTTTGTTTGTTTGTTTGTTTGTTTGATTGTGTAGACTGTACCTGTGCTGTATACAGTATATTTCAGACATTAGCTAAACTAGAATATTTTAGCCCGCAATGGACACAGCTTTTCTTGAAACCCATTTTCCTTTGTGCATGTTTTTACTATATTTTAATCGCTAGTTTAAATTAAATTTTATTCTGCTTGTTTTGTATTGATGTTAACACTGACGCTACAGTGTTTAAATTGCTTAGTGCTACTTATTTATTTACATCGTGCATAGTACAGTAGAGACATCTTAAGTTGGAGAATTTTTTTGCCACCGGAAGTTATCACTTTTATTTTGAAACGCACTTTATCTATTTCCAGGTTAAAAGAAACTCATCAGGAAAACAGGAAATTCTACTGTCACTTCTACTCTGAAAGTATTTTTTCATCGGTAATTAACTTTCAGGCTGCATAAGGAGCAACACTAATTTGTGTGCATGTGCGTGTATTTCAGTTCATTTTTAAAATTATACACTACGGACGTGGCGTGACAACAATCAAGTGCGAACTGATATACAATCATTTTCTCCATATAGTGACTTCAAAGCATTCGTAAGTCATTCAGTACTATTTGCTTATATTGCAGTTTCTCAAAGATGTTCAGTTTTGATAAATATATATGTATAGAGAGACACTTTTTGAACAGAGACAAATGCATTCTCTCTTAATCATTCAGGTTTATCAACTCCTGTCTGTAATTTGGCGTCACAGTAAAAGTTGATGAGTGCAGTTAAAAACAAACAAACAAAAAAAAAACAGCAAGCTATAGACAATGCTCAGGACTAAAATAAAGAACCAAAAAATAAACATCTGATCGTGAGAGATAACAATAGTTCTCTAATATGTATAATACGTGTTCAAACTCGTACAGTAAAAGCGTTAAAATACATGTTCGCGAGCTTTTTTTTTCACTCATTGTTTTACTTGTGTGTTAAAATTCTTGAGCTCTGCCAGTACTGTATTTTGATGCACTAGAAGTCCTAATTCCATGGTTGAGTTTATTTAATTTTTGGGAAACTATATCTGGAGCAAAGTTGTTTCACACATTTAAAAACGATTTTAAAGATTGAGAGAACAAGTTTGAATAGTTAAACAGTATAATAAATGGGGAAAATATCATGACATGCGTGAAGTGTTGTGCCGCCTTCAATATTAAATTATTATTTTTTTTTTTTACATTACTTTCTGACAATACTGACTAGTATTCCACTCCATCCTAGAACCATGCCTTCAAGAAACTACCTTGACAAAATTGGCAGGAAGAAGAAAAAGAAATGGACAGAGGAAGCTATGGCGCACGCACTGATTGAGGTCAAGTCAGGAAGGTGCACTGTGAGAAAGGCAGCCAAGGAGTTTGGAGTCCCCAAATCCTCACTGGGGGACCGAGTCAGTGGACGGGTGACACCAGGGTGCCGCAGTGGGCCCGCTCAGCTTATAACATCTTCTGACGAGGCACTGTTGGTGGAGTTCTCCTTATACATGTCCAAGCATGGATTCCCGCTCACTAAGCAGCAGCTGGTGTCATTTGCGTCTTCCATTTACAAGCGTCAGCACAGAAGGGTGGCCTTCTCTAAACTGGGCCAGACCTGGTGGCTCAACTTTCGGAAGCGTCAAGAAAAAAATATCACGATTCAACCAGCAGACAGTGTTATCCGAGGTAGGACGGTCCGCGTCAGGAAGGAAGCGTTGGATCATTTTTTTCACCTCCTGAGCACTGTGGTGGAAGATCACAAATTGGGGGACAAGCCTCACTACATTTGGAATTGCAATGAGATGGGTTTTCAGCTGGCCCGCAAGAAGGTGGTTCTCCCCAAAGCTGCCAGTCTGGGTTGCAAGTCAACGCCGGGCTCCAAGGACTACATCTCTGTCCTGGCTTGCCTGAACGCCGCAGGGAAGGATATTCCGCCGTTTATCGTCTACTCCAAAGCCTACCCAGGAGGAGTGTGTTACAAAACCCAAGGGCCGTCAGATGCCCTCTATGGCTGGTCCGATTCGGGATGCGTCACTTCTGAACTTTTCAAAAAGTGGTTCCTCAGACATTTCCTGGTGTATGCTCCTGAAGCGCGGCCACTGCTGCTCATTTTCGATGGCAACAAGTCACCCGTGAACCTGGAAGTGGTGGAAGCCGCCCGTAAGGAAGGCATCATCCTTGTGTGCCTCCCGCCTCATTGCGCTCACATCCTGCAGCCGCTAGACACCGGCCTATTTCCGCTCATAAAGCAACGGTTTGCCGCGCTTTTAGATGAGATGCACGCCGCTGACGCGACTCTGTTTGCAGTCAGCAAGAAAGACTTCTCGGGCGTGTTCAAAGGGGCGTATCAGGTGGCTAAAGGGGACGAGGGTATCAGGATAGTTGAGGAAGGTTTTAGCAAATGCGGCATATACCCCGTGAGCCCCTTTGCGTATAATGACGCCCTTTTGATGTCATCGCACAATGTGGACTCTGAAGCTGACGGTGCCTTGTCGACATCGGCGCAGCATGTTGTTGGAGGTCTAGCTGCTCCTGGACTTTGACCTGATTGATCTGTAATTCACAAACATATAAATGAACACCAGATTAAAGGCGCACTGATTAATCAACAATCAATGATTATTTTTGATAGTCAATGAATCATTTAGATAACTTTTTAAGTTTACAATTGTCCAAATGCTCAGAATTTCACCTTCTCAACAGTACATTTCTGTAGTCCTCCATGAAGAGGGACTGATTATCTTTGTGTTGAATCGAAATGCAATATTTGCTTTTAATTTGGAAAACAATGATCAACATTTTTTTGAGCGAACCAGGAATCGAATCATCTTTAATTTATGTATGGGCATTTTCTGCGCTGTCAATTTGAAATGATGTCATGTTTTTGAATAAAGGGATGCAAACTATAACATGTTTTTTTATCCAATTACAAATACAAAATAATCAACAGATCCATCAATTATTAAAATAATTGTAAGTTGCAGCCCCACATTGAAGGTTAGTAATGGTCTCTGCCATCAACTTCGACACAAACAAACATTTAGTGGAAGGATCCATTCATTTTCTTTACTATTTGTCCTCATTCCGTTCACGGCTGAGCTGGAGCTTATCTGAGGTGACTGGGCGAGATATGGTGTACACCCTGAACTGATCACAGGCCGAATTTGTTAGGTCACAACAGACAATCGTTCATACCTACAGTATTTTTCAACTTCTTAAAATAATAGCGTCATTCAAATTTTGACAAAAAATATACTTTTTCTGTTTTTTGGCTCATCTCAGGTTTCTGGCTACCATTGCAAAAATCAGGAACAATCTTTGAAAATCTGAAAAAGAAACATTGTGTGTCCTTTTTTTTTCTTGAAGTTGGGTGTTCTTGTTGCCAACCTTTCTCTTTATTGCAGGTTTTGAATATACATGACTGGGACTGCGTATCAACCTGTGGGATGCAAATGGCCCCCGGGCTGTGAGTTTGAGACCAGTGATTTAAAGTCTGCAATTAACGTGTTTAAACGTGGGAAAAAGGCCAAGTACACACAGAAGACCCACACGAGCATGACGAGAACACACAACACCTATCAATGCATTGTCCATGAGTAGCATTCATGCCTTGACAGAGTTCTTGTTTACGCTCAAGTTTTCTCAAACGCTGCATCTTGCATCTCTTCATGTTGAGCCTCCGCTAACATTTTAATCCAACCTCAGTTTTTAATCTTGTTTGATGGATCTCTCTGAGGCTGTTACACCCGTCAAATTCATCATGCTGTGGAAATTAAAGCAATCAGGACTTTGTAATGAAGTGTCACCCTGCATAGCCAATATAATAAGTGTATTGTCACTTGTTAAGGTGAGAGCGGGCAGAGCAGTATGATGTCGTTTCTGCTCTTGAACTTCAAGATGCTGTACACAGAAGCACATTCATGGTTTTATGTCGAGAAATTGCTTTTGCGTTCTTATCAGCGTTCTACCTCTGAATGACAGATTTCTCAGAACCCACAATTAATTAAATATTTTTTTGTTGTTTTTTTTTGTTCTCAAAATTAAGGCCACTTCTGTTTTTTTTCATCTTTAATAATTGATATTGTACTCCAAAATATTTTAATGTACCTTTGAAAACCACACATTGTATAATGTGTTCCGAGTGTCTATGAATGCATCATTCTAATTTTTTTCTCCAGGAAGTGACGTCAATTACGGAAGGAAGCTCATCCTTTCTTCAGAGCAGGCGAGTTGTTGTAAGTGTGATTCTGATTAATTTTAATTGCTAGCGTTATGAAAGCAGGGTTGATTGTTATACGTTACGTACTTTTTGAGGCGTGGTTGTAAAAAATGAACATTTCTTTCGTGCGAAATAGCTTTGTACAACTTTGTGTGCGTCGTAGCTGATTAGCATTACTAGCTAGCACACCTCTTATGGCTCCCAGTAGTAATGGGATATAAATGCTTCATAGCGGGCTTATATTTGTTTTCATGATTTACTGTCGACACTTGTTGTGCCGGTGCATGCCATGTCTTGACTCTTGTCGTTTACGGTTGGTATTTTCATTGTTCAGTTTTATTTATTATCATTCCTGTGTCAACTAGAGTTGTCCGTGATGACTACAGCTGCAAGACCAACATTTGAACCGGCCAGAGGAGGTCGGGGAAAAGGAGAAGGTGATTTGAGTGCACTATCAAAGCAATATTCAAGTCGAGATCTTCCAGGTCACACAAAGATCAAGTACAGGTCAGTAGACTTTTTTTCTTTTGTACGATTGTCTGCAAGTGCTTACATGCTCTTCTCAAATCATCTGTCATGTGTTTTGTCTGTTAGGCAGCCTACTCAGGATGCCCCGGAGGAAGTGCGTGCCCGTGATTTCCGCAGGGAGCTGGAGGAGAGGGAACGTGTAGCTGTGCGTGAGAAGACCAGAGAGAGGGGACCAAGAGGTTCGTTTTTAGCATTTACCCAGCTTGCTCTGCTGTGTGCAAGGCATTATTTCCCAACGTTTATTGAGCCAAGAAGCATGTTTTAAATTTTGGAAAGATTCACGGCACACCAATTAACTTATTGTGCCAAGTATCATTGGCTTCATGAACCCCCACTGAAGACACTGCAGTTTCCGACTTTATTCATAATTGATTCAGTTATATTTGAAAGCAACAGGAGAATAAGTCTCACCTGGAAGCGAGCGTGAAAGAAGCAGGAGAGTGAACATTTGTGGCCAGCTCTGCATTTGGTCAAAATGGAAGTAACTTTTTGGTAAATCATTCATTCTTGATTCTCTAGAGCACACCACATCCTCTTCTTCATCCTCCTCTTCATCCTCAAAGAGACCCAGACTGGATCAAATTCCAGCTGCCAACCTTGATGCTGATGATCCCCTTACTGAGGTATGAACTGCACTCATCCTACCACACTGACAGCATGCCCAAAAAGCTGCCTCGCTCATATTTATTTGTAAATAGGATGATGAGGATGACAATTCCGAGGACGATAGCGATGATGATGACACCGCAGCCCTTCTGGCAGAACTGGAGAAGATTAAGAAAGAGCGAGCTGAAGAACAAGAACGCAGGGTGAGCTATTAATTCACAATGAATACGTTCTGTCTTTTTAGGTTAAAAACTTTCTGCTTGTTTTTATATCTGGCAAATGTATTTGCTATATTTTTCATTTTTAGGACCGGGAGCAAAAAGCAGAGGAGGAGAGGATCCGAATGGAGAATATATTGAGTGGCAATCCATTGATTAATTTGGCAGGACAGCAGCAGCAGCAACAGCAGCAGCAACAAATGGCTCAGAACCAGAGCGCATTCAAGGTCAAGAGAAGGTAATGCAGACATGCGCAACATTTTTTTGTGACACTTAATGCTTTACCTTCAACAATTGATATAATTTCTGTTCAGGTGGGATGATGATGTGGTATTTAAGAACTGCGCAAAAGGATTGGACAAAGCACGCAAGGAGAAACGCTTCATCAATGATACTCTGCGCTCTGAGTTTCACAAGAAGTTTATGGAAAAATATGTTAAGTAAAAAACTGTCGTATTTGTGTGATTTCTTCTCATTTTTAGTTGCCCTCTGTTGTAAGAATGATCTGTTGTTATTGAATTACATTTCCATACATTTAAACAGCATCTTGAATCTTGTATATAAATGTGACAACCATACTTTAAATAAAGATCATACAACATTCAATCAAGCTCTTTGAAATACTGTAAAACTTAAAGACAAAATAGAAATGGCATTATGGGGGGTACTCCAGACTTATTTGTTATTTTCAAGCATTCTTCTTCTTTTTTTTTTGGTCTCGGGACAAGTACATTTATTTATTCAAACTGCATGTTTTAGTATTTTATATGTGGATTATTTAAAGTTTAATGGGTGGGACGTAATATGCCCTCCAATTCTGGAATGCTGGAATAGATACAGGATATACATTACTGTATAATATACAGTAATATATATACAGTAAGACAAATCGTCATAAATTATATATACAGTGTATATACTGTATAATTTATGACGATTTGTCTTCGCTGGAGAACACTCAACCCTGCAGGCCGCAAGTCTTATTTAGACCGACAGGAGGCGCTGCAGAGCTAGTTCTCGAAGAGCGATTAAAGCTGCTGGGAAAACATGGCAGCTTCCTTTTGTTGCTGATTTTAGTACTGTATACTAGTGGGGGATTAAATACCCTTCTAGCGCCACTGCAGCCACCGGATCAAGAAAAGAGAACAATAATATGGAGAAGACTGGAAGTATCGACAGTTTGGGCTCCAAGCAATCCTCTTCTCGACATCCGAGTGTTGATTCATTGTCCAGGTAGCGTTGGTTAAGCTAGCTAAAAGTTTTGAAACTAACACAAATATGATTTACATGTTTATTCTATAGAAGTGAAACTCGCACCTGCTCTCATAAAATAAGTCTGAAGCTTTTAGCGCTAGTGATAAACCATAAGTCTCATGTCCCGCGGCAAAATGAGTATTGAATTTGACAAGTTTCCGTTTGCCTTGATAGGGGTGTGTGTCAAATATTATTGCGTTATAAGTATTGGACTAAATATTACAACATACAGTACCAACGCCCGTGAGACGATGTTGACCGATGTCAGCGTCCTCGCTCTTTATGCGTGACTAATGCGAGACGATTATGGGTGTCGAAATCAATGTACATCGACAAGGGCCAGTCAATGTTTGAGTTCGGCCATGTCACAATACTTCCACTCAATTATTGAAAGTAGCGAAAATTCCTCCTTCCTATATCCATTGCACTCGGAAGTGAAACGGGGATTGTCATTTTGGCTGAATGTCCTTAGTTAGGTATACTGTGCTCCGAATTCTGAATACGGGACTGATACTTGGATGCATTTTTTAAAGTCTTGGTTTCAGGATGGCTACAATGTAAAACAAAGCATGATCTCTTAACAGTTCTGAGCGTTCGGCCCACGTTAAACCTTCCTCTGCCATGTTGTCTGAGATGGCCACCTCAGCAGAGTTTTCCCCAGAAATCAGGGTTCGTATGGAACTGAATGGAGTTAATCCCATAAATCCTCATGAACCTCAAATCAACTCGTGACTGACATGCAACTATTTTCTATTTTTAGGTCAAGACCAAAACTCATGCAAAGGTAAAGGCACTGAATTATGCTTGTATAACTACTTAAACAGATCTTCACCACTCCTAATTTTCCTTTGCCTTTAACAGGTTTTTAGAGATTCTGATAAAGAGGAACCACAGTTACTTCCAAATGAAGTTGTGCAAGATATGGGTATGAGTGTTTATTGCATACTTCCATTGCATTTAACCCTTTAGTTGTTTCATGATAATTTAATTTTACAGCTCAAGACGTCACCTACTTCTGTCCTTTCACCGGAGCACTGCGAGGAATAGTGACAGTTAGCAACTACAGACTCTTCTTCAAATGCATGGACAGGGTACGATGTTTCATTCATGTTTCACCACACACAAGATATGGACAAAACAATGACTTTCTGTTCCTATAACATCAACTTTTAGGAGCCGTCTTTTGTGCTAGATTTGCCCCTCGGGGTTGTGAGTCGTGTGGAGAAGATTGGCGGTGCATCAAGCCGTGGTGATGTGTCCTATGGCCTAGTCTGCAAGGTGAGTAAGCACAAACATGGTCATCGTGCATTGATAGTAGTTGAGATGTCAGACAAATATGACTTGCTATGTTGTCTCATTTAAAAAAAAAAAAAAAAAAAAAAAAACTCGCTCTATTCCTTCATTCGGTAACCCATCGCAGTCTAATGAAATCCAATGCAAGCGCTGTAGCAGATGATAATGCACAATTTGGACTGACACTGGCTAGTGTCATTACTTGAGGATCATTTTTATTACTCTGATTGTAATGGAATGTGAGGTTGAACCACACTACGTCATACTGAAAAAGTGTTTCTATTTCTCGGTTACTCTATTTAGAGAGGCAGAATTGTAGCAACACCTACGATGCAATGCAGTGCAGTCTGTACCACAAGACAGACTTTGTCATGCTATGGTACTTCTGAACTCTCATTACACAATCCAGGTTGTATGTCATGAACCTGTGAGTTCATCAAAACTGATAACTGTCTTGATCTTGATGTTGTGTCTTGAAGGAAACTAGGAATAGCTAACTGTTTGTATGCTACTGTAGGGTCCTGTGTATGACCATGACCTGTTTGCTCCACACAGGATATGCGTAATCTGCGATTTGCACACAAACAAATGGACGACACCCTCAAGAAGTCCATTTTCGAAGTGTTGATGAAATTTGCCTTTCCTGTCTCCACCGGACTGGTAAGTGATATATCAGCCATGTTGGCGTCCCTTGGAAGTTGTAGCCATCCAGGAGCTGATAAATTTCCTCCTCCTCTCCCCAGCAAATATTTGCCTTCGAGTACGGACAAGTGTTTCCTGAGAATGGATGGAAGGTGTACGACGCAGTCTCTGAATACAAAAGACAGGTACATGCTTCAGAACGGTAAACTCTGCGTGGTTTCTTTATACAGTAGTGTGAGAGTGTCTCAGCTACGTCAATAGTGCAACATCATAGCAACGTGATAGAATAAAAATGAAGGGAGGGCAAGTTGCATTTTTTTCCTTCCTGGCGTGTGGCTGTTTATTAAAGGAAGACAACGTCAGACACTGTCAACCAGTCAAACGAGAATAGTATAGTCGACTACTGTGGTTGTTACACGAACAAAAGGGTGTCTTAAGTTGGTGCAGTACGGCTTAATTATTACTGGTAATTTCCCATCATTTGAAAATGGAAATGAAAAAAAATCACATATACAAAAGTGAATAAAACTTTTCTGTTGATCTTGTAACATTGGATACTTTTGTGTCACAAAGGGCATTCCCAATGAAAGTTGGAGGATTACAAAGGTAAATGATCACTACGAACTGTGCGACACCTACCCATCCACTCTGGCAGTTCCAGTCAACATTCCAGATGAAGAGCTAAAGAGAGTAGCAGCCTTTCGGGCGAAGGGAAGGATACCTGTGAGTAAATGTTGTGCTTCATCATCCTCGGTGCAGCTGTTTTTGGGGTGAGCAGGGGTGTGTATGCTTTTTAGATCCACTGTAGTGGATGTATACTCTTTGTACAGGTGTTGTCCTGGATCCATCCAGAAAGCCAGGCAACTGTGACACGTTGCAGTCAGCCCATGGTCGGGGTGAACGGGAAACGGAGCAAAGAGGATGAAAAATACCTACAGGCAATCATGGATGCCAACGCCCAGTCACATAAACTCTTCATTTTTGATGCCAGGCCCAGTGTTAATGCTGCCGCTAACAAGGTTTGTTCTTTATTAGTGTTTGCCGTGTAGACACGAAGGTCAAAACGAATGGTCACCCTTCATCGAATCACATGACATTCATTTGGACCTCAGATGAAAGGTGGCGGATATGAAAGCGAGGATGCTTATCAAAATGCGGAATTGGTGTTCTTGGACATTCACAACATCCATGTAATGAGAGAGTCGCTCCGCAAGCTGAAGGATATTGTCTACCCTAACATTGAGGATTCACACTGGCTTTCAAATCTGGAGTCTACTCACTGGCTTGAGCACATCAAGGTGAGTCAAATGATGTGCTACTCCCAATTATGCAACTGAGAAGGGGGAGTAAGTTCCAAGAATACTTTACTTCCCCTCTCTAAATATTATAGGTCACAAAAACCTGCCTTTTGAGCAGGGGTGTGTAAACTTTTTATGTTCACAGTGGTGTGTTCTGTAGTTGATCCTGGCAGGAGCGTTGCGCATTGCAGACAAGGTGGAGTCTGGCAAAACGTCCGTGGTCGTGCACTGCAGCGATGGCTGGGACCGCACGGCGCAGCTCACCTCACTAGCCATGCTCATGTTGGACGGTTACTTCCGTACCATTCGTGGCTTCCAGGTGTTGCTGGAGAAAGAATGGCTGAGCTTCGGGCACCGTTTTCAGCTGGTAAATCTTTTTACATACTTTTATCCTTCTCAAACTACGGTGCACTCTAAATCCCCGACTCCTCCGCCTTTCAGCGTATCGGCCATGGCGACAAGAACCACACAGATGCAGATCGCTCACCTGTTTTTATTCAGTTTGTCGACTGTGTGTGGCAGTTGACCCGCCAGGTGAACAGATATGAAACCTTTTGCACATTTTTCATCGATTATCGGTAATAGCACAATAACTGTTTGCATTAGTTTCCTGCAGCTTTCGAGTTCAACGAATTCTTCCTGGTGACCATCTTGGACCATCTGTACAGCTGCTTGTTTGGGACGTTCCTGTGTAATAGCGAACAGCAGAGGCTGAAAGAAGTACATGCATTCATTTTGCCTTGAAATCTTTTCTGCACTAGTTATAAGTAACAAGGTACAATGGTGCCTTGAGACAAAAGTTTATTTCGGTCCATGACTACACTGATATCGCAAATCATATTTCCCCACTGAAATGAATGGAAATGTTAACGGTTCCAGCCCCCCAAAATGCTTATGTCTTGTTTTATAGGAGATTCCAAAGAGGACAGTATCCTTGTGGTCGTACATTAACAGCCAGTTGGAGGAGTTTACCAATCCTTTGTATGTCAACTTCTCCAATCATGTGCTGTTCCCTGTCGTCAGCCTACGCCACCTGGAGCTCTGGGTTGGCTACTACATACGTTGGAACCCTCGTATGAGGCCTCAGGTAAGAGTCACTTGTTTATAAGATACTTAAGACCTGACTTCAGTGTCCCAAATGGAGCCTTCTCTATATCACCTTTTTATTCCAGGAACCTGTTCATCAGCGCCACAAGGAACTGCTGGCAAAACGTGCTGAGCTGCAGAAAAGAGTGGACGAGCTGCAGAGAGAGGTGACAAATCGCTCAGCGTCCTCTTCCTCTGAGCGGGCAGGCTCTCCAACACGGTCCATCACCCCAGTCCAGACCTTTGTTTGACTTAACCCGACTGGTGTACATTTGTCACTCAGATACAGCGTGCAAGGTCTCTTTTGGCGAAACACACTCCGCTAAATATCTTAATAATCGAGCATTGTGTCTGCTTGGAACAGACTCGTGAGAATTCTAAACACCATTTATTCCAATGACTGACCGCCAAATCAGTATTGTTAGCTTTGGAGCTCCTAAAATGTTATCATGCTAAGATATTTATGTCCTACACACTACATGAGAAAATGTAATTCTACTATTCCAAAAACAATACATCCCAAGCTAGTTTAAAGGCATTCACTGGCAAATAGTTAATTTGACACAAAAAGTCCAGTTTTGTGTTACAAAAAGTGATTGTATTGTTTTGTTTGTTTTTCACACCTGTTCTTTTAGATTGTGACCAACATTATTTGTGTGCCATTCAAGGCATTCGTTTAGTTGACATGGTCAACATTATTTATTATCGCGTAATCTTGACGTTTAGATATGATCTGCTTATTCCCAGACAACATGCAACTGGGGCCATTTACTCACGATTTAGCTGTCAATATACTGTACATTATAATGAAATTAAGAACAATGTAGCTGCCAGATACATAATCATGATATTCAGTGTCTAATATTGCTAATTTGTATCAACATCCAATTTAGATAATCTGGAAGATTATGTGCCTTGTCCAGAACAGCTAAAACTATTAACTACATACTATTGGGACTGCATGCCAAAAGGAAACCTACAATCAAAAAAATATTTCAGCTGCGAGTGTGTCTAATGCAGGGGTGTCAAACTCATTTCACATGGTGGGCCACATACGGCCTCGGTAGATGTCAAGTGGGCCGGACCATTAAAATGATACAATACTTTGCTATAAATAACCAAAACAATATGTCTTTGTTTTGGTATAAAGAAGCACAAGAACATTAGGAAAATGTTGAAATTTAATGAACATATCTTTTACAAAACATTTCATGAAGCACCTTACATTTCCTTCGACAAATGTGCAATTACTTTTATCATTCACATATATGCATTGCAACTGATCCCACTGATTGTACAAACTTTAACAAGTAATTGGTATTGAAAAATATAGTAATGCACTTTAAGATTAAACAAGATTCATAAAGAAAGCAAGTTTTAAAGCATTTACACGTGCATATAAAATCTAAATGTAATCCCTGCCTACACCTTACAAACTAAGGAGAGTGCTATTAAATGTGTAAATGTGAGAGTGCTATTGATAGCGTCTGCTGTCATGGGTCTGTCTCAGTGACAGACTGAGGCTGCTGTTGTCTTCTTCTCTGATCAAAACAGTGTCCCCTTGCGGATACTCAATGAATTGCACCTAATTAAAAATATTAATTCTGTGTCTTTAATGCATTTTTTTCACTTTTACATTATCCTGCGGGCCCGATTGAACCTACTTGCGGGCCGGTTCCGGCCCGCGGGCCGTATGTTTGACACCCCTGCTTTACATAATCATCTCGCGGGCCGGATTAAACTCCTTTGCGGGCCGGATCCGGCCCGCGGGCCGTATGTTTGACACCCCCTGGTCTAATGGTATGTTAATAATCTCAGGTTTGTTGCCTTTTGTTGTGCCTTTCTCCCATAATAAATTGCAAATACTTTGAAAAGATTACCATGCTCCTGTTAAGGTTTTTGTTTTTAAAGCATGTTCTTTGAGGCATTAGTTTTCTTTTAGTATATTAACAGATTTTATGTTTTGTTTTATTCTATATTGTAGCAAGATAGGGCTTGTAGATGGCTGCAAAGCACTTCCTAACATCAAACTTAATGAACATTTTTGCTGTAACTAAGAATTTTTTAAAATTGTATGAAAAAAATTGCTTATCGTGTTGTCATGTTTTTTATTTAAAAAAAACAAAATAATAGCAGTGCCATCGTACAATGTGAGCCAGATAGCGTTCATCTTTGGAGAAGCAAAAAACGAACACAGTGACAAAGTGGAACATGAGCCAGGGAGTGTTCATCTATGTAGAAGCAAGATTTCCCCCCTCATATGTAAAATAATTGTGCCAAGGTAAAAACCACCATTAAAAATCCGTGTCAATCTAATCTAGAAAGATTGTCAATTCCAAATGCTAGCAAAGCTGTGGAAAGATTTTGATAGCGTCCCTTTATCTTTTTTTTTTAATGAAAACATTTTGATAGCGTCCATGTATCTTCTTTCTCCAAGTTAACATATAAGCGTCACAAAATTCGCGAATTCGGTTGGCTGTGCGTATTTGAAAAAGTGAATTTTGCCGACTTCTTATTGGTCGTCCTTCCTGTCTTCTATGACGTCATCGACCACATCCGCTGACATGAGGACGACGGCTTCGATACGAAAAGAGAGAAGGAAAACAGGAAAAAATCATTTGCGACAACACTGTAAACTTATGACAAATTTCATATTCCTTTTAAAATAATTGCTTTTTTTGTCATAAGGCGATCACTTAATCAACCTAACCCAGTCTGGTCACGTGGCGGTCGTGCAGACATAGATCACATTTATAGAGTTTATTGTTCTACGGCTCCCTCACAGCTTCCTCCTATACAGTGTGTTAGCTGTGCTAGCTAGCTTTAGCAAGGGATGTGTAGTTGCCATCACATTGTGCGCTTATTCTTAGTTTCAGTTAGGTCAGTGGCAGTTGAGAAAAGAGCGCCCTAATCCGGTCACTTTACCGCTGGACTGCTTTAGCTCGTTTAGGTGGGTGACAATAATTGGACGAGAATGGCAACATCGGCTCTGTACGCCTGTACAAAGTGTAACCAGCGGTACCCGTTTGAGGAGCTGTCGCAAGGCCAGCAGCTGTGCAAGGTTTGGGAATGTGTGTGTGTGCGTGCACATCTTTGTGAACATCATAACAATCTGTCGAAGCATAGTTACTGCCTGGACGTTCAACTTGCGCTTCCTACAACTCGGTGACATTTTTCCAAATAATAAAACGACACAATGCACGTAATACTAAAAGCATCAGGACAGCATGCAACAAATTATTCAATACCCGTCCTTTTTTCTAGTATTCTCAATATGCGTAATTGCAGTGAAGAGTCTAGTCAAGTTTCAATAATTCCAGAATGGCTACAGTGCGAATGTTGTTTACACCCAAACTTGGATTCCCAACTGCTGTTATGGCAAGATAGTGTGCCGTGAGATCATCTTTAGGTTTCAGCAATTACCCAATTTTTTTAAACTGCATCGACAATTATTGCTTTATTACAAATAAGGTGTCTTTGTTCGCCTATCTATACCACCGACATATTGTGACAGACGGGAACAGTGAAACGGTCTTCCATTAAATGTCAGAAGGCGCAATTAACCTGTAAACCTGTTGCTACTCATACAAAAAAAAACAGCTTTGTGTTCAACTGAACAGGCCCTTTTTGTCTGCTGCCTTGACATGATTTTTTTTCTAATGTAAAATGTGTTTCGGCTAAAAAAAAAAAAAAAAAAAAACTTTACTTTTGGAGCGACTGTACCGTGTTCCCTCACTTTTCGAGGGTGATATGTGCCAATTTAGTAACTTGAGAGGGACAACGTTAAAAGCACCAGGATGATACAATATAGCTTAGTTCTACTCTCTTGCCTTTCTCGCAGAATGTGAAAATATTTGACCCTTGTCTTCTCTCATCAGGAGTGTCGCATCGCACATCCAATAGTGAAGTGCACCTACTGCAGATCTGAGTTTCAGCAGGAAAGGTGACACATAAATTCCGAGGCTCCGTTCATCCTATTGTAGTGCTGCGTTATTGCTTCCTGAGTTTGTTTATTTTGTCCTTATTTTCGACAGTAAAACCAATACTATCTGCAAAAAATGTGCCCAGAACGTCAAACAGTTTGGAACAGTAAGTTGCAATCTTAATTCACTCTCCAATTGCACTTAATGGATTTTTAATTCTGTACATCAATAATTTTAACGCGTTTGCATCATTTTTCGCTTTGCAGCCCAAACCCTGTCAGTACTGTAACATTATTGCAGCCTTTATCGTCATACAAAAAAAAACAGCTTTGTGTTCAACTGAACAGGCCCTTTTTGTCTGCTGCCTTGACATGATTTTTTTTCTAATGTAAAATGGTTTTCGGCTAAAAAAAAAAAAAAAAAAAAAACTTTACTTTTGGAGCGACTGTACCGTGTTCCCTCACTTTTCGAGGGTGATATGTGCCAATTTAGTAACTTGAGAGGGACAACGTTAAAAGCACCAGGATGATACAATATAGCTTAGTTCTACTCTCTTGCCTTTCTCGCAGAATGTGAAAATATTTGACCCTTGTCTTCTCTCATCAGGAGTGTCGCATCGCACATCCAATAGTGAAGTGCACCTACTGCAGATCTGAGTTTCAGCAGGAAAGGTGACACATAAATTCCGAGGCTCCGTTCATCCTATTGTAGTGCTGCGTTATTGCTTCCTGAGTTTGTTTATTTTGTCCTTATTTTCGACAGTAAAACCAATACTATCTGCAAAAAATGTGCCCAGAACGTCAAACAGTTTGGAACAGTAAGTTGCAATCTTAATTCACTCTCCAATTGCACTTAATGGATTTTTAATTCTGTACATCAATAATTTTAACGCGTTTGCATCATTTTTCGCTTTGCAGCCCAAACCCTGTCAGTACTGTAACATTATTGCAGCCTTTATCGGGACAAAGTGCCAACGTTGTACAAATTCAGAAAAGAAATATGGGCCACCTCAAACCTGTGAGCAGTGCAAACAGCAATGTGCCTTTGACCGCAAGGAGGAAGGCAGGAGAAAGGTATAACGCATAAAACATGTGCCATATTAACTTTTTTTTTTTGTTTTATTTTATTCAAGTGTGTCTCATGAGTCCAGTTTGCCCCACAGGTGGATGGAAAACTGCTGTGCTGGCTCTGCACACTGTCCTATCGTCGTGTTCTGCAGAAAACCAAGGAACAGAGGAAAGGCTTTGGCTCCTCGAATTCCTCATCCCTGAACGAGAAGGACCATCACTCGAGGCAGCAGCAGCATCACCACCATCAGCATCAAAGACGCAGCAGCTCTCACCACAAGTGCGTTGACTACAGTATTCAATTTTTTTTCTTTGCCCAATTCAGTCCCTCCGAGGCTATATATATTTTTTTAAGTTCAGAAAACTCTAACACCCAGCAGTGAAAAGGTTTGTGTTGCAGTCTTTTATAGTAAGTGCCTAAGCCCATTTGTCTCTGGCAGACTGAGTGGGAGCTTGAGTCCTGAGCAGGAACAAGGAATGTGGAAGCAGAGGTAAAGCTTTCCATTTTTATTAATCTGCCAAAAGAGCATCAAGCAGTCGATGCATTTCCTGGATA